TTATTGAGATCATTTTTGGAGGATGAATTTTTCCGGCATAGCATTAAAACTTAAAAAACTTAGCCCAGCATTCTCAAGTTTCAGTCAATTTCGATCCGTTGCAAGAGACGACAGGAAACTGTTTTTTTAATGCCTAAATATGACACAGCCTCTTTAATTTTTATGTCAAATGTATTTCCTAGTCACGTAATTGTCACTTATCTTTCGTCATTCTTCCGTTTTGTTTAGCTAAAGAGGCCGCTAATGCTTTCCTTCAGCTTCCGCCGGCACAGATGAAAATGATGAAAATATCCCAGACTGCAAGAGAGGAAGTGATGGAAGAATACCAAGCCCAGATTAAACAAAGTGTCGAAAAAGCAGTTGTAGAGGTTATCAAGCAGGCTCTGAAGGACGGAAAGAAAAGCAAAACGAGTGCAGTGGAGCAAATGTGAGAGGATGGGAACATTTTGCCATAGATAAAATCTTTCTTTTGGTCAAAGGTTGTTAAATTTGAATAAATGATAACGGAATAGAAATTGTCAGAGTGCAAGGGCCTAATTTACCGGTTTCATAGTAATTAATGAAAATATCCAAGACTGCAAGAGAGGAAGCGATGGAAGAATACCAAATCCAGATTAAACAATGTGTCAAAAAAGCAGATGTAGAGGTTATCAAGCAGGCTCTAAAGGATAAAAAGAAAAGCGAAACGAGTGCATCACTGCAAATATGAAAGGATCGGAACATTTTGCCGTAGATAAAGTCTTTTTACTAGTGAAAGGTTGTTATTAGGTTTAAATTAAGTTAAAATAATTGAATAAAACTGTATCAGTGGGCAATAGTAATTCAGCCTCTATCTCTCTCTCGTAATGAACGACCTTCTGCACTTTGCCATATATATTGTATTCAATCCTCCCTTATCCATCGTTACAAGGTACAAACGTACGTATCGCCACATCGTGTAATGGATATCAGAGAGCACTAAAAAGCCTCTTCAACAGTTCAAGGCAGCACACGCCTCGGGTAGAGAGCTAGCGGAGAGGTTTTATTTTATTTATTATTATTTTTATTTTTTTTTTTTTTGCGTAGTAAACAGGTTATCCACTTCGGGCTTATTAAAACAAACTGATGGCAGTCTTCAACCATCAAATTGGCAAACCTCATCGCCGAAGTTTTGTCCACTGTTGACAACGGTCGAGGCATATATAGCGCAGGCAAGATAAAAAGCACCCTAATTTACTTAAAGTAAATCACTTCCTGCTCGGCGAGCCTGTAACAACTGAAGACTAAACCATTAACCGAACATGTGGATATTTGTGGTTGAATTAAAAAGAGCACTGCTGCCGTTGGCAAATTCAATATAGCGACCACATTAGGCGAAATAGCCTGTTCCAGGCGTTTAGTTAATGGCGTGCGGAGTTTTTTTGTTTTTTTTTGTTTTTTTTTTTTCCCTCTTTGTCCCGTCTCCACTATCTGACTGAAGCCTGGAACAGGCTGCAGGGGGAAAACGTGTTGCTGTAGTATTTTGCTCTCGAAGGTTTCTATGCACCGGAAAAAAAAGAATTGTTATCCTTAGAGTGATGTTACTTTCAGTTTCAGTTTCTCATTTTGTGTTAGGCTGTCCCAGCTATTCTTCCAGAAGAGCCTCCTTTTTTTTTTTTTTCCCTAAAATAGACGCTAACACCCGGCAATAACTTGAAATAACATTAAAACAACGATATGCTTAAGAGAATGGATGGAACCGCAAACAACAAAGGTCAGCAAATATGGCAGATATTGCAGATTCTTGTGAGGAATGTGAGCAATCTACTAGCTCAGAACGACATTTTTTTTGAGAATTTCCAGGAATTTTAGGGAGTTTTTGGAGAATTTTAGACATTTCCAAAAGAATTTTTCAAATTTTTTCCGGAAATTCCGGAAATAATTTTCGGCCACATTTCGGGAATTATGTAGCTAAGCCTACGGTCCTTTCTCGAAGCAAAAGAGAGAACCCTGGGAACGAGGTTGGGTTGCTCTTTCTCTTTCTAAACTTGCAGGGTGCGTTCCCTGGGAATTCTTCTTCGAGGGAAAAAAAAATGAAATATTAATATCAGATGTAGTTTTTTGGTGAACTAAAGAAATAAGGTATGTTCACAAACATAACAGGTATTGGTTAGGCAGTTTTGGTACAATGTGATCACCCCTGCACTCACCAATGGCTGCTCTCCAGCCATAGTTAGACCTGGTCTGCACGTACCCGCAGTTTTCTGAAAACTGATTATTTTTTCTCCATTTTCAAAAACGACAATCTCGTTACCAGGTTTCGCGTTACAATTGTCCAGCGGAATGGTAATGGCGTCCCTTACTGAGTATGGTCTGTTTGGTGTATGACAACATCGTATTCGAAGTCCACACAAAACGATAAGCCAGCGATTTAAAAAAAATACACTCCTTGAACCGTTTTCGAAAGCCTGGGTTTTTGGTGCCCGAAAGCGCCGTTTACGTGTAGACGGAAGGCTAATTAAAACGGAGGCAAAAAAATCTCACTTTTTAAAAATATCCGACGAAGTGTGAGCGGGCAGGGCCCTAATTTTTCATATGTTTCGTCTCAAAGTCTCTATAAACACTTTTCCACCGACCGGAATCTCTTCTGATGACCCGTGCTTCTCACTTTCACCTCTATACCTTGCACGTTTCAACAGTTTTGCCATACTCTTAGCAAAATTTTCTTAATGTGAGAGACATTCACGGTTAGACATGCTCTACAGACGTGTAGTGAAGTGATTCTTAAATCTGTTCATAACCATTTCCTTCTCCACCGCCCCCTCCCCTTTTTCTTTCTTTATGGAAGCAACCTTCGGAAACCACATACTCCATTCAGGAAGTTACCGAATTGAGGTAGTTGGCGTTTATTGTAGTGAGAGTATAGTGGATGAAGTGGATGGATTGTCAATTGTCACCGAACACTTTTTCAAGCGCATGAAATAACGTCTTCAAAAAAAAAAGGTGTTTTACAGGACTAAAAAGGATCAACGATGCAAAAGTGAGGAATTTTTTCTTCGGTTATCCAAACACTTCATAGTGCATGATTTCCTTAAGTTTGTCTTTGATATCTACAAAAAAAGAATTTATTCTACATTAGGCCTCTCAAGAGAATGTTCTCCAATTACTTTAAACGCTTCGAATATCGAGTTCCATTACTGTTAGATGATAGTTGTTTAAAGTCTCTATTCAACAATAGTGACACTATTTTCTGACCCTTATGTGGAGGGCCGGAATAAGAAATCGCTTGTTACAACTTGTTTGTTTGCGATCTTATTTTGATTCGATCACTGGTAGCCCAGACTCTATGGGAGATCGATGGAATTTGAATTTTATGAGAAAATGCATAAGAATAAACAAAACACGTTCTACATGCCGCCTTTTTAAAAGATTCGAAATAGAAATGACTCACCTTGTGTCATTGTTGCGTCTTTTATCGTCCGTTCGAATTCGCTTACTTCTAGAGCCATTACGAAGCCGTTTTGGCGAGTTTTCGATTTCGAGTTATACTTACCAATACAGCTCAAAAACTAAAACTCGCCAAAACGGCTTCGTAATGGCTCTAGAGCGAACAGCAGATAACATTAAAGAAACAACGCAGACTATATGAGAAACAATCTGAGTCATTTTTATTTCAAATCTCTTCATATTAAAAACTGAATTCAGAACGTGTTTTGTTTATTCTCATGTAATCTCTAATAAAACTCAAATTATCTAAGCTGCCTGACGGCCGGAGAACTAACTGAAAAAAAAAATTGTCATTATTTCATGTTTTTTCGGATGGCCTGACGCTCGAGCTTCAAAACAGGTTGATGTGTTAATATCCGTTCGAAAGAAGAGTTTCAGGGAAAAAATCTGTGAAATTTTCGCATATTATTCAAGAGGCGAAACAAGCTATGACGCCTTTCTCATGGAATTCAGGAACCAAAATCACAGACACTTCCAAAGTTTGTCCAACAAAACAACAACTTCCGATTTCCGTGTAACCATGTGACTTGCTTTTTCTCAGAAATCACGTAATTGTTTGTCCAATTTGGATACGCTGTAACGCGTAGTGTTCAGTGGAGAAAATTTAACATGAGATGAAGTTTTTTTTCCTTGGTTAACCGAAGAATTTTAAACAGACGAAACAGATATGAAAACACTTACAAAATATCACTAGATTTAATTCGGTTTGGTACAATGTGTACCTAAACTCCATTGGGGGAGGGGTTACTTAGCTCAGCATTTTAAAATCTGTATAATTCTTTTAATATCATGGCATACTCAACAATATTTGTATTTCCTCTTTTACTACTTTATCAACATTTTTCCACGAGTTTCTCCTCTGATGACCCCGTGCTTCTCAGTTTCACCACTTTTCCTTGCTCGTTAGGTATACGTTTCAACAAAGGATTGAAACGAGACACACACGAGCAACACGAGGTCATTTTTTGTCATGCACGTGATGAAATACACCTAACTTAAGGGGAATTCACAACAAGACGCGCTCTATATCGACGTCTAGCTAACAACTTTTAAACTGGTCCTCTCCATGTGAAAGCGACGGTACTGGAAAGGTAATGACGCCATATGTGGTTTGAGTTTGTTGTTCGCTCTCTCCTTTGCTCTAAGAGGTTTTTCTCCGGGTACTCCGGTTTTCCCCTCTCCTCAAAAACCAACATTTCCAAATTCCAGTTCGGCCAGGAATCAGGTAGACGACTGAGAACCACTTTATGGATGTGCTACCTCCAAATCATTATTTACTATTTTATTTAAATTAGAAATAGAACCTTACGGTATTGAATTTGTTTTCTTTTTTTCCTGTCCTTTTTTTTTTTCTTTCATGCTGTCGTTTAATTATCCATGATATTTTCCTGTATATTCCATCATATTGTAACAGCCTTGTTACTCTATGACACCAGTTTGGGTCGGTTGTAGTTATATTCGGGATCATATTAAGAAATGCCGTTCCATATTGGCGCGGCGATCACGCTGCAAACGTCTTTTACTACACTGATACATGTAACTGCTTTTGTGGCACAGAAGATACGATGAGAGAAAGAATTTAAAGTGTTTTTGTTCAGTTTCAAGTTTGTTCTTTTCGTTTTTCGATCCGCGTGACATGATTTAATTTAATGTTGCTCCAAAACGGTATAGGTTATAGGTTATCTGAGAAAAAAGAAGCTTTTATCCTCTGTTCTTGTCTGTAAAGGATACACTTTAGTTAGTTTGTAGCAACCGTCACGAAATCCAGGAACCTGGCATCTATTAAAGAAACCCACAACCGAAATTAAATCTGCAGTGGTTCTGCGATACACATTCTGAGTTTGATAATAATAATAATAATAACAATTGTTTATTTAGGTGGAGGACAACGCAAGCAAGATATGAATGAACAATAAGACTATACACAGCACTGATTATTCGCTGCTTCGACCTTTTTCCCTATGGCATTTTCATTGTGTATTACTTTGTCTCTTCTAGTCCCGCTGTTCACTAAGAAAATCACAGGTAAAAATATTCATGATAACATGCTGTAATTGAACAATTTTCTACCTTGTTACCAAGATGGCTGCTATCTATCTTGTTTTACGTTAGAGTAGATGTGTGCTTCAGTAAATTTGCGCTTCAAAGTAAATTTAAAAGCCTGTTTAATTTGTGGGCGGAGTGTTGTGTGACGACACAAAGTACGGCTGTGTTGTAGACTAATAAATAAACTCGAACGCATTTTGAAGTTAAACCTCAAAAGTGTTTTTTAATTTAAAATTATTAATTATTATTAGATTATTATTCTGGGTAGGGACGGAAAAACATCCTCTAGGGAGGGAAGAAGGGGAGCGGGGGGTGATGGGGAGTAGAAAGAACGCGAATTCGCGAAATTCTTCTCTACAGCTCCTTATACAAAAATTTCAAACAAAAAATCAACCACAAAAAACCGACATAAGCAAACAACATAGTAAACAAGCTAGGACAGAAATGAGAAATTACGAAATGTTTGCTAACCCGGTTTTCATAAATCCTTCTGTTAATAAACTCTAGGAAACGTTTATAAAAGTTCTGAAAACGTCTCTTTTTGCTATTTTTGCTCTAAGAAAGATGTACCCAGAAAAAGGAATGAAGTCGATCAGGAGCTCTGGGGTGGAAAATTATCTCTTTCTGCGTGCCCGGGGGTGGGGAATAGACCACCACTGAAATAAAAAAAAATTTAAAAAAATTGCAAATCTGGGGTTACGCCCGCGGGGGGGATGGGGGTGGGCATGCTAACAGGTCAAAATAAACCATACAGGCCCCAATGTCGCTCTCAATATAAGCCATGATGATACTTTTAACTTGACTAGCCTGGTAGAAACGTTTATATTGATCACGTCATTCAAACTCTTAGAGAGTAGTCTTCAGTGAACTCCTGACCGAAAGAAGTGCAATACTATAAATTACAAATTGCCACAGTACATGTACACCCGTATGGTATAACGGACAGTTGGGATTTGGTGCACCAAAAAAATTCCAGTGGGGATTGAACTCTTTTCTTATGTAAAAAATGTTCTTTTCTTCCAGGAAATTTGCATAGCTTCTTACCGCGTGTGTGAAAACGATCTCAGTAGAAGGACAACGGACACTTTTCTGAGTCCCGAGCCGACAACTGTCATGATCATATATCGTCAACCCCGCTTTACGAACACTGGTTACCTTCACACTGTCTATTTTTATTGTCACAATCATGTGCAAATTGTAGATATTGTACTCAGCAAAAATGCGTAAAAGGTTTGACGTCCGTTTTTCTTCTCCTGGTTCACCCTTGCTCTAAGACTCCTAACCAAGTTTTCTGAATCTGAATCCTTGTACACAAAGTATTACTTCCTTGCCTTTACGCTGAAGTCTCGATCTTTAGTCACACTGTTCTTCCTCTTTGGTTGTTTTAGACTTTAGACTTATCTTGTCTGTGACGTTTTTTCTGAAATCCCGCTTAATATAAGGACAACCGGATAATACGGACACTATGGCATGTCGCCGGGGGCATGTCCCCTTGGTGTCCGGCGTATTAACCGGGTTCTATTGTACAGCAATCCTATTGTGAATTTGACAACCTCGTTCCCAGGGTGCATTTACAAAAGACAAAGAATACCGAGGAAGACGATTCAGTTGGTTATCATAGACAACCTTGTGCAAACGCTTGCCATGTTGTTCCCACGCTGGCTTCGCTGGTCAAAGAAACGGATATACCAACTTATTCGTCTAAAAGCAGATTCCTGAGGTTAATATTAAGACGCAGATTCCTACCATTCGTCTTAGAAAAAAATAGTGCAGATTCCTACCAGTTACGTTTTTATGAATCGGGTCTCTGGACTGGTTTGCGCAATCAAGACATGAGCTAAACAGAGTATCTATGATGTCACCAAAGCCTGTTTTCCTTATGATCGTTCCAGTCGTCTCAAATAATGTTCAGAAATGCTACCCAGACGATTGCAATCGACCCGGACGATTGGGACGACCTCGATCGTTGGGATAAGTCGGGACGATCGTGTAAATTTTGAAGTGATCATAAGGAAACGCTCTCAGACGACTGAGACGATCGAAAGCTACCCCAGAAATCATCACTTTTATTCCAGTAATCGGGGAGAAATACAAAAATTAAAGTTCGCACCGCCTATGCACAATATGTGAAAAAGAGATAGTCCCTTCCATCAAGTTCTGAATGTGATGCTGTTTCTTCGTGCAACATCTCTACCTTGTTAGGTCACAAAATCGAGAGAATAAGCAGATAGCAAGCCACGAGGTTCGCTCTCTTGTTAAAACTCTCCATCATGTTTGGCTTGTTTGTGAAACAAGTGCGACTCTTGTCTTTGAGGCGATCGAGACGATTATATGGAAACCACCAATCATGCCAGTCGTCCTGTTGATCCCAAAATTTTTGAAACGACTGGGGCGATCGGGACGATCCGGACGATTATAAGGAAACCAAGCGGCTGATTAAAGGAAGAACAAAAAGTTCTGGCTCCGGTTGTTCAAAAAGTGATTAACGCCATCCGCTGAATTTATCCGCGGGATAGCTCTATCCAACGTTTTAACAATCGGAGCCTGTTTACTATAGAGAAATAAGATTGTCAGACGCGGCGATACTAATCACTCAATTCCGAACAACATAAGCAGCGTTCACACTAGGAGCACGGATGCTGTACCCGCAAGGCACTAATGTGAACACTCCCTTTTTTCAAAAACGAAGCCACAATTTGGGCACGGCGCCGGTACCCGAATACAAGGTCTCGAACTTGTACTCTGGCAATAAAGTGGGCACTGGGTCCCAGAGTGCGGACGCCGGGTTTCTGTCGTTGGTTCCGAGTGATCCACTCCCTGCTACGCCCACGTTTCAAAATGCTTTCTGACGGGACAAAATAGAGCAAATATGTACACAGTTACAAGCCGGTGTACCCAAGGTGTGAACACAACACTATTTTGTGCCGGTAATTTTAACAGCCGCTTATACTCAGTTTGGACGAAGTTACACATGTAGTACAGTCTACTATGACATACTAGACCTAAGCATATTTTTGAAAGTCTATTTTCTACCTGAATCCAGAATGCGATACGCAGTCTCTTATAAAAGCGAATAAATCCGTGCAACACAATTTTTCTACTACTGAAGATTAGTTTTTGGCTTGCCAAATGAAAAATTTTTGATTTAGAACGAAAGGTAAATTAACAGTACGTGCAGCATGAGACAGCAGAAATGTTTATTTATCTATCAGCTCCTAGGGAAACCGTTTACATTTTTATCATTTGTTGGGGAGGGAGCTGGTGGGATTTGAGTATTATTGAGCATTCCTAAACAATATGTCTTCAAAGGGGAGCCAGTCGAAAAAATTTGGTGTGTAAATAGGACCCCCAAAAATGCCTCTAAGTTTTGTAATAAAAACCAAATAATGACATCTCTCTTAAGCATTAACAAAAATTCTAATATAGAGAGAGGCCATTATATATTACAGAAACTACTTTTCAAATCCCACCACCTTCCACCACCCCATGAATATTATATCTCTCTAAATTTCACGGTTTCAGATGCCCAAGAGGCTAACTATGACAGCGTTTTTGTGTCTCCTTTTGGACTTGACTCCAACAACTGTGGCACCGAGGCTCGCCCTTGTCAGACCATCACCAAAGCCGTTCGCCAAGTGAGCTGGGGAGGAAATATATACCTCAATGGGAGTGGGACCGAGAACGTACTTTACAACTGTGGCCAATCGAACGAGCAGCCAGACTTAAACATCAAGAAAAGTTTGAACATCATAGGATTCTTGTTGCCACTCGTTTACTGCGAGGGGGGATTTCATTTCCAAGAGGACAATGATGAGCGGCAGATACAGGTGAAATTATCGGGGATCGTTTTCAAACGAACGTCTCTCAGTTTTGAAGACTGTCAGCGCGTAACAATTGACAACTGTACGTTTCGTGACGGTTCAGAAGTTCTGAATGTCTATTTACAGAACGTTTCTACATTTCAGTTGGATATCACAGGATACTCATTATTTCAGAACAACTCGTTATGCCTCATGCTTCTTTTTCAAGAAAATGTCAGGAACAAGAGTAGGTTTGTGACAGTCAATGTAAATAATACAAATTTTATAAGGAATGGATACCACTTTGAACGTCCTTTTCACAGAGGAGGCTTGCAGATTTTATCAAAGGAAAGAAATGCTATAAAAATGGAACACATCAATATCTCTTGCAACGGAGTTAAATTTGTTCACAACACTGGATTCTTTATAGACCTTTACGTTCCAAACGTACTGACAAACGAGACATATAAAGATTTGAATTTGACTTTCAATAAATCACCAGGGTACACTAACACTCTTTATTATTCTATAGCGAAAAAACCCCACGTGAAGTTTATAGCCTTACAATGCTCTAGCAATCCATCTTCACGGTGTATTAAAATCCGGTCTGACAAAGCAGAAGTTGATATCCAGGGTTCTCTCTTCAACAACATTTTTCAAGCTCTGTATCTAGACTCGAGGATCTGCGCATCCTTAAGAATTTTCAGATCAAGGTTTATCACAATTAATGCAGCTTCCGATGGTTCATTGTTTGCTACAAGCTCACGAGGATTTCTCAGAATCAACATTACCAGTGTCTTGTTCAGAACCTGCAAGGCCAAGAAGTATGGATGCGTAATAGTGATAGGGAAACCAAAAGAAGGACATGGGCGTCGACATAACGAGTCCATTCCGGATGAATTATATTTCACTCTCAGAGATGTCACAATTGAACAGTGGGCAGGTAGAAATTCCAAATGTTCAGCTGTATATATTCTTCATAAAGGTGGAAAAGTGACAATAGAAGATTCAAGGTTTTATAAAAAGAGGTTAACATCAGTGGATGGTGCTTTGAATGTGAAGACGATAGGAGGGAAATCTAACATCACAGTTTCAAACTGCTCATTCATAGATAAATGCGTGTACAAAAGACGAGCGATCGCTTTCCAAATAGTGGCATCAAATGGAAATGCCGGTAGTGTAGTAATATCAAACTCCCGGTTCATAAGCAGCGGAAAGAAACAGAAGGCCTTATTGTTAAGTCCCAAATACCGCATGAGATTGGTCAATATAACAGTGATATCATTTCGTTCTGGATTCCAGGTACTATCATCGCCTCCCAGAAATGACACTTTTCCGATTGATATCTACGTCGACAAATGCACTTTCATGAATAACATTTTTGATATGCTGTTGACTCTCCTTGATCCAACCTCAGTCTACATAACCATTCAAAACACCATTTTCATTAGTACTGAGACAAGTTTTCGAAAAAGTTATGCTATTCGGCTTAATATTCCACCATTGAAAAATATCAGCTCAACAATTGCAGTCATAAAGTTGGACAATGACACTTTCAACTCTAAACCGTCGAGCAACTTTGCTCTTTTCTTTAAAGGAAAGAAAAGCGTGACAATAAAGGGCTGTATGTTTAGCAACTGTTGGTATGCGTTTTCGGATGCACAGAGGTGGACGATAGAGAAAACGGACGATTTTTATGAAACCGGTTCTGGTGCTATTTCGATATTGACGTTCCCTGATAGAGCTTTGAAGAATGGATGTCTTCACTCAAACACTATTGATGACACACATCCTCTGTGGCAATACGAAAGTCATGTAATATTCGAAGATACTGTGTTTAAGCAGAACGTGGGCTTGATTTCTGGTGGAGTCCACATAAGTAACGGATTCACCACGTTTATTAGATGTGTCTTTCAAGATAATTTTGGCATTCAACAGAGCGGGCACATTTATTCTGCATATGGAACTGGTAGAGTGGACTTGGAAGATTGTTTATTCTCTCGAACCAAGGAGAAAACTTTGATATCTAATGTTTCCTACGATAACGCCATTTTCACATATTCTGAAAGTGGAGGGCCTTTAAGAGTTAAAAACACGTCTTTCACATCAGTGGTCCCTGCAAGGAGCAACTTTCGGATGTTTGACATTTCTAGTGGCGGGTACGTCTACGTGGATGATAAAACCACAATGAAGTGTAGCAAGGGAAGTAAGCTATTATTCGAAAATGCCACCCATATTATATATACGGAGGAAAAAGGCGTTTCTTGTAGAATAAACGTTACTGTTTTGAAGTACTCTTGTGTTTCATGTCCACCAGGTTATTATAGCCTCCAAAAAGGAACTTCACGAGGATTATTTGTTAATTCCACTGTGGAGTGTCTTCAGTGTCCATTCGGTGCCAGTTGCATTGAAAGAAATATAGCTGCAAAACCAAATTTCTGGGGTTATCAAGCAAGGAATAGTCGCCAACAGCAACTGCAATTTTCTCCTTGTCCGGAACATTACTGTAAAAGTCCATCACAGGATTCAAAAGAGTCAAGAGAGAATGAGCTAGATCATTCTCTCTTGAAAGAGTGTAACAGTTGTCATGGGAAAAGATATGGTACTCTCTGTGGAAAGTGCGCCAAGGGATTCACAGAATCTCTGTTTTCAACCGAATGCTCTAAAACCACAGAATGCAACAATTATTGGATTTGGGTTATGATGATGCTTTTGTCACTCGGATTGGTGCTTTATCTGTTGATACGACCGCCCATTCTGAATTTCCTTGTACATCAGACCTTTTGGTATAGAAGAGACAACGCCCATCAAGTAAGACAACACGAAGACTCAGACAGCGGGTACATCAAAATAATATTTTATTTCTACCAAGTTGCAGGGCTTCAGATTGACACAGCCATGAAAAGTCAGCTTAAAAAATTGCCCTTTTTTGCCTTCGTGATTTCATCCATTCATTTTCAAGTTACAACCGTCAATAATATCGGATGCCCTTTTCCAGGTCTTACAACAGTGACAAAAGAGCTTCTTCTATCTGGGACTGTTCTCTTGACAATGGCAAACGTTTTCACTGTGTTTTTTGTACATTTGTTCATCAACACGTTGAGGCAAAAAGATAAGCCAAAGCTTATACACTACATGGCCGTTTTTATGGAGGTATTATTGCTGGGTTATGTGCGGTTGGCAGAAATGTCTCTGAAACTGATGCATTGTGTTTCAGTTGGATCTAAAAATAGGCTTTTATCGATGGAAATGTTCCTTGTTTGCAATGGTGGCAGTATACACTGTTGGGTTACATTGCAGTGTTTGTATTGCCATTCACCCTGGTACTCTGCTGGGGTTCTTCAAACTTTACATCTTCTGTTAAAGCAGGAGGTTTCTCCCAGCCTGTGTGTTTCCATTGCCTTTTTCTCATCTATTGGCTTTACCGGAGAATTCGGGATAGAGGAGCAGAAAACGAGTCGGGGAGTAATCAGGAAGTCGACAAAGATGTTTCAAAAATACTCTATGGCCCATTTCGCCCTCCAGACAGTGCCAACAAAGGGACCCTCTACTGGGAAAGTGTTCTGATTGGCCGAAGGTTGATTCTTGTTGCACTCCATACCTTTATTACAGATGCAATGTTGCGGGGGATTTGCATGACAAGTGCATGCTTCATGATGACAATTCACCATCTGTCGAAGAACCCTTACAAAGTTCCATTGGCTAATAAAGCAGAAACATTGTCGCTAGCTGTTTTGACACTCATTACAGCAATCAATCTGCCAAAAGCAACCCTCTTCTCGTTTGGGATAGAAAAGAGTACTGAATCGTTGGAAACGATAAAGTGGATCAAGGTAGGCGCCTTAGCCTTTATCCCAGCGATGGTGTGTCTCCTGGTAATTATCGCGTTGCTGTCCCAGCTAACTAGACTTGGAGTGGTTTTATTCAAGTATATTCGCCGTTTGTGTCAGTATCGTGCCTCTAATTTGACGGTAGACGAAAGCACGCCACTTCTGGATACAAGTGATTAAATATGACAATTTATTAAACAAATCGATGCCGTATCGGGGAGCCAATGAATGCCTCTGGTTCGAAGTCCAGATGGAAGACATGGAAGACGAGTCAGACAGGTTTCATAGTAATTTCGACGGCTGTCACTTAAAAATTCCTTTCCTTTATATTATCTGCCAGGTTTTTTAAGCTGTTCTGCTGTGTAAAATCCTAGAATCACGATGAGTTTTTAAAAAACTAATGTTCATCGCACAATGTTTTGATTTTTCATTCATGCAGTCTAGGCGAGCCCGGTTCGCGCGTTGACAGTTTTGATAGACGTGTGACATGTCAATAGCGGAAGTCACTTGTCTTTTCCGGTTTGTTCTAGTCGGGGCGATTCAACGAGATTTTGTGGGCGTTTTTAATAAAACAATTATTCCACTCGGGCTTGTTGGATATGAAATTTTCGACCTCAAAACTGTAATGCCGAGGGAAAAATTTGGCTCTGACATGGCTCACACAACACTTGAAATAAACTAGAAATGTAGCCGCCTACAAAATTTCGGTGGGAATAAGATCGCAGCACACGAAGGGAAGATCGGGTGTTATACCGTCGAATATACAACGGGTTTCCTGTATTCCTTTTTATGGCATGGTATAAATATAGAAATCCAATGATAAGACGAAGTGTTTCATTTTGACCACGTAACTCAGTACCTTTGCTAGGGTCATCTCTGTTTTGTGCTTCAGATTAGAAGTGAAAAATAATGAGTTGTTTAAAAACTGCGATTCATGTCTAGATTTTAATTTTGTCTTTTTACAGCAGCAAAGTGACAAATCAATTAGATCGAGGTAAGAGGCATTTTAATCATATTGAAAATTCAGCACAGCATCGTTAAATCCCACACTGGATCAAAAATATATATATCGGCATTAACGTCAATATTGCAGCATCGCAACAGCTACTTATTTCTTATTCTTGATTCGTTAATTAATAAAAATTAATTTATATTAAAATGAAATAAAATAAGTCGTTGCTCATTTTCAACATTTTACATTGTAGGAGTATAAATTCAGTAAATTGTTGCGGAGACAAGTTTGTCTCTCAGTTGGAAGCAAAATGAAATGAATCAAATTACTTGAATCATATTTATGAAGTAGTCACTTGTTTCATTTGTAATAGTCGTAGAAACGGGATTATAGGTTCTCTTTTAGGAAAGAACACATCTGTTATAGAAGAATTAAGCTTGGGCAAGCTAGTAAAGTTGAGTTTCATCTTTAATTTTTTGACGAGAGTTAAACTGAGATTGCAAAGCCTTTTTATCGCTGGGTACATTGTCGTATGTCAGTCCCGTTTCAATACTAAGTTTATGACTGCTAATTCTTAGTTTCACTGATTCTTTCCTCCAGGGGTTCGTTCTTGTTAGATTTAGGTAAGCAAGGAGGCTATAATTGTTTTGGATTGTGTAATAAAAGTTACGTTTTTGTGAGTGATAAAGGCTTTGATTTATTCAGTGTGTTATGATGAAAGTCAGAGAAATTATTGATATAGTAGTTGGTCTTTTTCGTGAGACTGAAGTAAAACCAATTTTAATGGTTATAACAAAGGTCAATAGACTGTTTAACGTTTATTCCTCGCCAAGCGAGGCGCGAAGCGCCGAGCGAAGTGAGTTAACAATCTCTTCGCCCGAGAAGCGCGCGCGCTGCACGTGGACCATGGGTGGATCCTAGCGAGCTGCAAAGTAGCAACGCTTATCTTTACTTGAAGATATCCAGGGCGTAAGGAGCTAGGGCGTTGAAACGCTCTTACGCGCTCTCTGGTTTAGCTGTGATGCGGAGTAAGACTGGAACTAGTTCGCATTTCCGCTCTCGATCCGCTGCCAGGGCAAGAAAAATGGCGCCGTCTAGCTGGAGGTAGGTTCGGATTTATTGCTTTATATCTTTATATCGCTGCAACCTATAATCAAATTTAATATTTGGTGTATTGCTATGCGATACACAGAAAGTATCTAAGTGATATTTTATAGTTAAGGTGGCTAAACACAGTTTTGCGGGCGGTCAGCGGTAACTCGCGTGACCGCGCGTGTTTTTAATTAGACAAACAAACATGACGGCGAAAAAGCAATGATACACAGAAGACGATTTCTCAAAATCTACTCATTAAAATTTTGTGATATTTGGCAGAATTTTTACTTTTATCGTATTTTAGATAATGAAAACTTTAAAATGGAAGTTGAACAGACGAATTTCGTGACACATTTAATAATTACAGTACAATTATATTATTGATTATCTAAAAGTCCGTCTGTTAAAATTTGATCAAATAAGTTTCAAATGGTAATGATTAGTTACAGTAAGCTGTGTGCAAGTTTATAGGAAAATCTAATGAGCGAATTTTATGTAAACTGAACAAAAGTGAAATTTTAAGATTGTATTAAATCGTTCATGTTGCCATGGAAACTACGAAAACGTCAAATTTTACCTGTCAATCACATTCTTTTATCAGTATATTTTTCACCTGCCAAGTTTCAGCTTGTGAGCTGCAACCTTTCTCTTGCCATGATTTGGCAAATGACATACACTCACAAACTGCCAAAACTGTGTTCAGCCACCTTAATCTTATAAGGTAAATAATGTGTTTTTTCGCCTTTTATGTTTATGTAGTGTCTCAAAATGGCCTATCGAGCATTAGAGGTTGAAGGTCGCGTTTTATCTTGCCAGGCAAAACCAAGTGATAATAAATGGCTACAAAAAAAATATGCCATGGTTTTATATATTATCATGTACATTTTTTGTTGGTGCATGCAAATTTTTAGAGTAAACTTTTATGAACCTTTAAGGTTTTTTAACTTCTGAATTGACGACTTCATAGTGGCGATAGCAAGGTTTTTTGTGTACGTTGGCGTTTAGCATGTTAGTAAGTTTCAACGCCCTAGCTCATATCCGATGGTGTCTGCCATGATGTCATACAGGAGTTGGACGTCACGGCGCATTTTCTGTTTCTAAGCAACATTCGACTGAAAGCCATTTCCCATCAATGACCAAAGTAGTATTCATGAGGAGCTCATTTTGGTCTAAAAATAAGGGGGGACCAGGGCCCCTCTCCTGGATTCGCCACTGCAAACAGCAATTTGAAGAAAGAAAGGTCAGTTTTTCGTCGGGTCTCCACATTTTTGTAGCTGGCTGTAGCTACCAAAACAATGCAAACCCGCAAACCCCAATGCAACGAGAACACCTCAAAGAGACGCAGCACGACGCGTTGCAAGGAGAATTTTCGATTAGGCAAAGGACAATCGCAAGCTCCTAGGAAATGTGAAATAGTTTCAACATTACACTGAAAGCTTAAATTAATGGATTCGATCCCATTACTCCCTTGTTAAAAGGCTTGCGCTGGCTCCCAGTCGAGCAACAACTATATTTTCGACTTGCTGTTTTAGTATTTAAGTGCATGACCGGATGTGGTCAGCGTACTTAACATCTAAGCTCGTTAAAAATCGGCCGTGGCGACAAGGACAACCAGGAACTCTGAAGTGTTAATTAAAACATACCACTATTCCATACTGCTAGTGGCCAAGAGTCCTTTGGATATAGAGCGACGTTCGAGGATTTATACAAAACACTGCACTGACCATTTTTTAAAAACTTTTCAAGAACCACATACGATTTTCAAGGATCATCTACCTTTCACAGGTTGTACAAAAATTCACATTTCCAGTCCATTTCAAGAGAGCTTTAACGCTTGAACTGTTTGCTCCACCAACTTTCCTACATTTTCCAGTTCGCCTGTCTTAAAGTTATAGTTACTCGTTGCATAAAACAAAAAACGCTTAATATGAATCACGTTTAACTTCTCAGAGCTATGATTTATGTTCCGTCTTGGACAACCAAAAAGCATTAAAATATACTTTCCAGACGATTAACTACCACTGGATGTCTCCTTTAGTTTGTTATTTTTTTTGTTTTTAGCATTCTCTGCCTGTGTGTTTGTGTTTTTTTTTAATTATTATTGTAACATTGACTTTGAAATGCCCTGTGGGGACGAGCCAATAAAGTGTATGTATGCATTACGTCACCTATCACATGCTTGTAAAATTACTGGGGATTCACGTGATTATAGTCTTTTCTGATCACTTACGTAAAAACTTATGTAAGAGTCGCAAATAACTAAAACAGATGATACAGCCCTTCATTTTGGACCGCTGAGTATCGGTAAGCAAAACGTCGTCCAACCAGGGAGATCCATTGGAGTAAATCGAGTGCTTGAGACGATTCCACCAATGTATGTAATCGATCGATTTTATTGCTTACGTCACCTATTACATGCATGTAGAATTACTGGAGATTCACGTGATTATAGTAATTCTGATCGCTTAGGTATATAAGAACTACAAATAACTAAACAGATGAATAACAATATATATTGAGTTATTCGACAAAAATACCTTCGATTGTATTTATATTGCTTCTATGGTTTATTTTGGTTTATAACATAGCTACAATAGAATATTCCCCTAATCAAATTCAATAGCGCGAGCGTGCTTCATATTCCCATTAGGCACGCTAATGACGTCAATAAACTATACCTCGAGTTCTTGTGAGCTTAGCGATCGTCCAAAGACGTCAAATGCATCCATAACTCAACAGTACACGATGAAGCGTTAACCATGTGTTTTATAACGTAAATGTAAGAGCAACTTTTTGAATTTGTTGACCGATAGTAGGGGAAAGAGGTGAGTGTTGTTGTTGTTGTCATCTGCGCGAGCGTGCAGGCTATGGCGTGTGCAAATCACTCTTTGCAATGTCATTTCTTTCCAAAAGAATTTTTCGATGAGTTAATAGTTTTCCGGTTCCTCAATATGGATTTTACAATCTTTTTTAATGCTATCTTAACCGACTTGAGTAAACTTTCTGTCAGGTTCAAGACAAAAACATAACTGCGAAGTAAAAAAATATAGTCACACAGACATAGACGCGTACTGCTTTGAGCGCGGCTATAATGATAAAAATTTGAGTTACTGCTGCATTGTTCGCTTTGATAATGTTATAAAACAATTAGTTCATGTTTCAGCTGTGCGTATGTCGAGACATTGAGCACTTGCAAAGTTTGGAGAGCACTCAAGATGCTAGAGTTGCTCTCGGCTGCGCCTCGGGCAACTCTTACGCCTCTTTCGTGTTCTCGAAACTTCCCACGTGCTTAATATCTCGACATACGCACGCTGACTCATGAACTAATTGTTAATTATAGATATGCTAATAACCAGGCCAAAACCTTCGGTCAGCAACGGGCTGATATATGATAAGCAGATTTACGCGAAAAAAGATTGAGGATGACGTTGTAGCCACAGAAAATGCAAATCTGAGTGGTTTTCACGACGTTGGTAAATGTGCCACTCCCAATCTGTCAGCAAGGTCATTCTGAAAGGCAGAATAATCACCCAGTCATTACTTTTCCACTTCAAATGATAGACATTATTTGAAATCTGAAGTTATTTCAACGACTTTAGACTATGAAGCACGTTACAGTGACAGATAGCATGACCTAAGAGGGATAAGGGGCTGGGACTGCATCTAAAACAATGCAGCAATTTGTCTTGCTTAGAAATATTTCATTTTGCAAACGATGTTGTAGAACCTGGTACTGTCATTTATGCCACTTGCAACTGTACTACTGTAAGTGTATTATAAAGTTCAAGATCAGGGGCACCCAACGACAGTTTTCTGTACAAGTATCCATTCGGAGAAGCAAATATTGCCAAGAATTTTCTATTTCTTGAGAAAGGCTAAAAATGTCTAGAGGACCGTTCCCTTCATTTAATTTGCAATACGTTAAATTGCATCTAAAATTTTCGGGAAAATAATACTGAGGCCCTTGGAATTTCGAAAAGATTCAAGTTCTCCTAGGATGACCGAACAGATAAACTTTTTATAGCGCCACTCAGAATACATTTCTAGAGATTTAAAAGTACTCTGGATAGCGAAAAAATTGTTTTCTATGTATTTAGGAGGAAACCGTCTTTGGGTGCCCCCGCAAGCGAGTGTGTCCGTCATTTGGTTCCCCTACTACTGTACTGCGTCACCTATACATATATTCCCGCACTTTCTCCATGTCACGCAGCCTCGTACGCAGCCTCCTTTAGTGACATCACGCAACGCTTACCTTGTCCCCAGGAGCCAAAGACTCAAGACTGGAGGAAAACAATGGGACCTATCCTACCAATAATTTTTAGTTATCACGTACAAGCCCCTTAATTCTGCCAGTATGAAATGTCATTGAGCAAGGAGCCCAAGCGGTCATATTGAAATGGGGATGAGAGAGCAATATACGTCATCCAAACAAAAACAATTGACAGTCGACCAAATGTGCGTCCGCTAACCTGTGAGAGCAGTGAGACTGTATCAGTAGCTAGAGCGGTTTTCACTTGACTGTCGAAAGGGATTGGTTTTGGTTTTACTACGCCCTTTGGTTGGCTAGTGTATTTACTTTGGTTTTGGTTTTACGACAGTCAAGTGAAAACCGCTCTAAACTACGCTATATAGTGAGTAAACGTATTTTTTAAAAAGTTATTCGCTGATCAGATTATTACTTTTTTATCAGATCTCTTGCTCACGTTTAGTTATTTTATTTCTGTATTTATTTGGGTTAAAATAGCTCAAAGTTCATTGTTTCAACTAAATTTCATTATTAAGTCTTGAAGGAGCTCCGCTTTTAAGCTTAGCCACATCCAATTTTTGTGTGAGCACTGACTTAACGCCATTCCTTAAGACTGGAGACCAAGCAGCGGTTTCATGGAAATATCCTCTTCTTTGAATAAATTCTTAACCAACATTGTTTTTCCTCCTGGTTTTGATATAAACTTGTATATCTCAGTCTCAATTTCTATAAAAACACTCACCAAAGCATGTAATATATTCACGTGATAACGAATCCCACCATCTTGCTTCACGTTGCGCATGTGTTCTCTTTCCGGATCCCCTGCTACAAGTACTGCTGGCTCGCCGTCTGCCTAAAAAATTCCCGTCAGGTGCATTATGTATTACTGAGCTAATAAAGATTACCCTGACATGCTCGATTTTACCGTTTGAGTTAATCTTGGCCCAAGAATAGAATACTCTGCTTTAGCTGTCCTCGTGCTCTGTCTTGAGCCTTTTGCACAGCACCATTTAAACTTATTATTGTCCTATAGAAAATGTGGTGAATGCTACGCGCGCTGCGATTGGCTGTTGCCCATGATCTTTCACAGTACTGGAGCAGAAACACAGACTGTGACTTCACGTGAAACTTGTTTTCTTTGCCTTGTCCAACATGACGTGCAGTTTTGAAAATGTTTGTGAGATAATTAGGTAAGTGAAGCCCTCGAAGGATAGCAGGGTTTTTTTTATAAGAAAGAAAAATGTCCAAAGAGAGCTCTGAGTGACTTGGAAATGGCTAAACTGGAAAAAGTCTTTAAGCAGTTGCCATCATGTGTCAAAACACGCTACCAGACACACGCAGCTTTGAAAATGTTTGCGCGATTATTCTGCTTTGAACAAGTGATGGCCTTGAAAAACGTTTTGAGTGCCACTTTTTTTTCTTACTACATTTTGATACTTTTCGTTAAATGTATTTGCTGTCTTTGTTGCAAATTGCAGGAGAACATACGGGCTCCATATTTCTGTATTGATCCATCAGACACTGCATCCTGTCCTCAAAACCGTCAGCAAACATTTGCGGATTCACAGCCACAAAGCAATGACCCTAGTGAAATAAAAACGCAAAGCCGGATACAATTTGAAAAGAAATGAGCTTGATATTAGCCAGAGAAAACAGCCGAAATTTCGTGGCGCCCGCCAGCACTGGTTTCCCGGAACGTGACGTCTGATAAACGAGCTCAAAAATTCCATACTGATGATCCATGCGTCGCCACCTAGGCTTGTTTAAAAGTGCTTCTAATTGGTTAAGTAAAATGTCTCTCACAACATAAGTAATCAGAAGCACGTCGCAGATCCGGGTAGTGTGGAATTTCTGCGCTCGTTTCTCAAAGGTCATTTTTTCAGTCTAGCTGCAGTATATAAATCACGCTAATATGCACGTATAAAGAAGGAAGCCCTTGTATGGTGCAAGGTACCAGGCATTTGGACCCTCCACGAACTGAATTTACCGTTTGTTTTCTTAATGTTTTGAGGGAACATTGTAATAAAATCCCACCGGGCGCCACCGTTACCAAACACTAACCGTTAAGATAAGTCAAGAGGTAAGTCCAGAGACCGAAAGAAACAGAAACTCAGGTACAGAAGTAAGCCATCGCTGCGGGGAGAAGGATGGGGGGGACGACCTGTGTCTGGCATCCAAAATAGGGTAAGATAAACCCATTTATACTAAACTCGTCAATATACTCATAAATATTATGCAAAACCAGTTCTCCTGTGGATCAACAGGTGCGCTGGGACTTAATACACATATAACATAGGAATTGAGGTAATTTCTTCCAGTACCAGGTTAGCTTTTCCCATTTCTTCTCCCTGCCACTTCCTGAGATGAGGTCCAAATGCTGAACCAGACAAAATTCCACAAAACACCTCCACCATCATCGCTAAACCAAAGCCTTTATAGCCGCCTATTAAAAGAGTAAATATTAAAAAAAAAGAACGAACAAATGAAAAAAATTAATAAAAGGCAGAAGAAAAGTTCTGGGTAGGAAATTAACTTAAAGTGGGTTACCAAAAAAGAATCAACCGAACCTCTTCATTTACAAGAGTAGATAAAGGAACGTTTTCATGTTTCTTTTGTGTTATTATCTCCTCCCCCCCCCCTCACCATTGGACTGTTCATAACATATTTAAACACTTAATGATCCTTTTTCTAACTTCCTGCCAAAGGTTCCCTAAACCTAATCTCCCTGTTTCGTTATTTTTTATTTGACGATCATGGTAAACAAAGGCTGCTTCGTGTCTAGCGTCAGACTGCTTCACAAAAAACACGTTCCTGTGCTATTGTCGCCTTTACTATTTTCCTTCTGCTATATTCTTTCAGCTGAATACCAAACTTATATTAATTCTTCTTATGTATAACATTTTTATGTATAAATCACGGAAGATATTAAATTAATAATTTTTTCTGACCTGTAATCTCTTTACCACCGAGAGGCAGAAGACCACCTCCTTCATCTAAAACCTCTCGCGGGTTAGTAGTTTCCTAGGATAAAATAACAATTGTTCAGCTAGATAAAGCTAACAAGCCAGTCCAATTTCATGCTTTATACATGTAAATCTAGCCTGCCGCTATCTGCGCAATATTCCCACCTTTTCTCGAAATATATCTTTCTACCAATGAATCACGCGTCGCGCTCCTGAAAACTCGCATTCGGGTATAAAAAAAGAAGCGTCCGTCAGAAAAAATAGTGTTTCAAAGAAACAAGCAGCGTTTAATGAATTAAGCAAAACTGTGCTTTTTAAATTTATTTGCCTTTGTCAGATAATTCGCTTTTTTATTATATACAGTTTTTTTACCCGCGACTTTTCAGGTACACACGTGCGTACTGCGCGTGCAGGTAGCATACGCCCTACGCCCCTGTTTTTTAAGCGTTATCTGGAAAACTATTGAAACCATTTTTGCTATCTCCTCGATCTTAAAGTGAAAGTAAACCAAAGAGCTTTGGGGGACGGTCCAGTAATTACTGTCAGACCCTCCAGCCTCCAGCCTGAACGGGCCCAGGGGCCCGTTTCTCCAGAGGCCCGGTAACCTTTCGAGTTCGAAGGCAAAGTTTAAAATCAAAATCTGTTGAAAAGTAGCACAGTTCCTTGCTCACAAACCAGTCAGTTTTGCTTCGTTAACTGATAGTTTTATTATATCATTTTCAAGATTATTGAAACTTGAATGCAAACGCAACAAACATAAAAGAACTTTTAGGGCCCGAAAAGCTATCGGGACTTTCGAGAAACGGGCTTCTGGTCTGCCGGGCGGGGAGATCATAGGTAGGGTTCACTTTCCCAGGTAGGTCGGACGAGTACTCAAGTGCACTGTCTCAAAACAACTTAAGGAGAAAGAACTCCCTTTGCTATGTAAATAGTTGGATGCTAGCGTGCCTCAGATGAACACGTAGAAATGGCGGTCCCATCTCCACTACTAAACGTTAAAAATACAGTCCTCCTTTAGGCTTTTATGTGTGCTTAGTACATTTACTGCGCTGTTTAAACATTTTTGTTGTTACTTAAGCAATAGAAAACGTTTTCCGTGTTTGCATAGCCTGATATAAACACAAGAGGGGTTGGGAGAATTCGAGACAGTTATGCAAACCCGAAACGAAGTCGAGGGTTTGCATAACTGTCGAGAATTCTCCGAATCCCTTGAGTGTTAATATCAGGCTATGCAAACACAGGAAAAAAATTTTCTATCGCTTTTATAAAATAACTCTCCCGAGAAAAAACGCAAAGTCTTTGTTACGGTCCTGATTAAAAATAAATTCTTACCAGTCGGAAAGTCTTATACACGAAGTCTCGCTCGCGTAATCAGTTCTTGTTTTGCAAAAAGATGCTTTCCAAAATACGGATTTTTCTCGCTTAAAATGTCAGCTTAAGCGAAAAAAAAATTGACACACCTTCTTTGTAACGATTTTCCAAGTTTCAGCAGTCGAAGGAATGGGTAAATAAAATAAACTTGTCGAGTTTTGAACTTGAAAACTTTTGTGCTAGCGTGATTAGCGCGCGAAAAGCAAAACATCTTAACGCCACAACCATGTTTACATACTCTCATGCAAACACTCTTCTCGGCCAATCAGAGCTCGCGTACTATCTTAGTAATTTTATAAAATGCAATAACGTTTCCGCTCAGAGTGTGGATATCCCCGGGTACTCCCTATAATGGATTATAAAGGGAGGCGCCACAAGAAAGAGGTACCTTTCTCGGGCTTCAGGCATATGGAAGGGTAGGTATATCACTGGTTGATTGGAAGTATATGAAAGGGGTAGCGAAATCTGTCATCACGGTGCTTCGCTCTAAACTGGTGTGTGAAAGGGGTACCATTTGTCATTAAAAGGTACAGGAAAGAACAAGAGCCATAATGGCTCTTGGAAAGAAGTATCTCTTCTGTTGAAAATGGTATATAAAAGGTAAGGGGTTGGACCTCGGGGTTGAGCCTCCACGTATAAAATTTTGTTGAATACCCCTCCCAGGGGAGGGGGGAAATAACAGTTGATTTCATGTGCACAACTTGTGCACAAAAACAAACGTCTTTACACAGGGACTCTTACCTGTCCTTTGGAGTTGACACCCCATCCTAAGGGAATATCAGTTCCCTTCCTCTTACATACTTCTACCTGCAGAGATGATGTAGTTAGCGAAAGCCTTGCAGAACTGAGACCTGATGAAATAACATCGACTCATTGAGGATATTGCAATAGTATACAGCAATTCCAGAGACCATAACGAAATACCCCTATATATTGCCTCTTGTTTGAAACAATCTTTGGAAGTCCACAGGTCACTGGTGTTATACCCTGTATTCTAGCATTAAATTGGATTACTCATGTTGCCAAGTAAGATATGGCGAATAACTAAAACTTACACAGCGTTACTAGTAATGCTTAATAGATGAGGAGTAATTATTTCTTGCGTGCAGATTTAAGGAAATTAATTAGATGGATATGAAATTTAGAATATTAATTAGCGGACCTCCTCGTCACGTGGCCGGGATTAATTCCAACAGGTTGCCCTCAAAAGGTTTCATGTCCATAAAACGTCCCTTCTATGCCACATATATTTTCCCGTGACCGCCAGTCTACCTCTGTATGAGCATCCACTATATTTTACTAGTGCTTAAATATAAAAGTAACCGCGGCAGTGTGATCTCAGTCGATCGAACGTGTTGACTACAGAGCGGGAGGACCCGGGCTCGATTCCCAGGGCCGGACCAATACTCAGGGTCTTAAAATAACTGAGAAATGAAGGTACTCCCTTTGCACTGCAAGCGGCTAGACCTTCGCGTGGCTCGAATGACCACATAAAATGGCGGTCCCGTGAAGCTAAGGGGAGTCACATGACAAACCTTTCCTTGCGCCACTGCTGACGTAGCCATGTCCAATTGAAAACTGTCCCCTCCTCTCCCTGGAGCGGATACAGAGATAGGATTTGTTCCAATGGTTGGCTGTAAAGTGTCAAATAAGAAACGCTGGTAAATCAACCAAACTAGGGCAACCTTACTTTGTACCCGGACCCATCTTTGATCATGTTCAATGGACTGGAAAATCGTCACTGCGGTGATGCGTTCATAAAGGAGAGGGTATTAAGACCGGTGGTTCAGGGAGAAGAAAGGGGAGCTCCCAAGATGACGGCGAGAAACTTCAAGGAAATAAAAGCACTGAATAATTTATTACGTATATTGTGTAAATTTGTGGTCAATAATTCCTGGTTTTACAACTGTAGGCGCAAATTAAAAATGTTGCCAAAGCTTGTACATCTTTAAAAAGAGTGTTCGTCCTGGCCCTTGGAGCTTCCCTATTTTTTTAGTCTAAAATAACAATGTAAGAAAAAGAACCATAAAAAATTCAATTTTGAACGCGAAGGAATTTGGGGGATGAGCAAGAGACTCGCGGGAAGATGTAAGTTTTTGCGCAGTAGTTCAGTTTCTCGGGAAAATTCAGGTATTTGCTTTTCTGGTTGATATCTATGGACTCGTTCCCAATTTTTAGCTTGATTTCGTAGGGGCAAATTTATTTCTTATTATTTTTGACAGGACTACCTCAGTCGGTGGGGCGTCGATATCTGTGGAGAAGGAGGTCGTGCATCCTACTCTAGGGAGAAATATTCGGCCTCTGTGGATAACACCCTCCTCGATCTGATTAATTCTTCTTATCCTACTCAGCCTCATTCATTAAGTAATGATCCAGGTAAGAAGGGAAGCAATTTCTTTTGTTGTGGCGCAATACGCTTTCCTCACATAGAAATATTTTCATTTTTACGCAGAGAATGCATAAATCTACAAAAAGGCTGTTTGCGAAAGAAAATGTATTTAAAATTCACTTTTAAAGGGTGTATTTTTGTGTTAAAACATTTCGACCAATCATAAGAGTTGCAAACAATGGCCAAGAAACGTTCACAATTTTACATGATCCGCACATACGATTTCTGTGTTACTTAGACTCAGACGAGATTTTGTTATAAGGAAGTTGGATAGAAAAAAAGGGATTAATATACATGCTGCTTTGCGAAGATTTCGTAAAATTTGATGTTTAAACCAATCAGAACCTTAGTAGAGACAATAGTAAAGTTAGCACCTTTTTGCATTCCGACGTGTTCACTGCGTTTTGGTCCTTTCCTTCTTATCTGAACCATTACTTAATTGCTAATTAAACACTTTGGTGTAATAGTATTGGCCAACCTCAGTGCAGACACACATTCGTGGCAAGTAGGAAATCAAGTTCTTTTAGCGACAACAGACCTTGAAATTTATGTATTATACCTAAGAACGAGTCAAAGCAAAATTGCCCAAATTTTGCACGCGGCAGTGGTTCCAAGCAATGCGAATAACGTATTTAATGAAAAAATGCATTACCTTCAACGCTCTGGTTGGTACAACTGCAGGCGACGCGTTTGTCATACTCATACCCTGAAAAATGAAGGTTGAACTGTTGAAAATCCTATCTTACATGCTAAATACTAAATAAAACAGAAGTTTCATTAACTTACAATCATTCCATGATCAAGGGCTTTGCTACTGTACCATCCTGCTATGCCAAAGTGGGTTGAACCTGAACGAAAAAGGAGAAACGTATAACTAGTGTGTAAAAAAAATATCAACTCTAGTTTAATTTTAAAAATTAATCTTTCTGTAAAAAGGCTACAGCTGACACAAAATACTCGTGATTCTAACGATCACGATACTAACTACCATAAACTTTAAAATTTGGGTAGTAATTGTCTTGTTACCGTAAAAGAGCTAAGGGAAGGATGCCATCAATGCAACTCCCTTACAATTGTCAAGGTTTTCCTTAGACAGAATTCAGTGGCAGATCCAGACCTTCAGATAAGAGGGGAGGGCCCGGTCATCCAGAGCCTAAAATAAGGGAAGGGGGTGGGAAAGGCCTCAAAAAATGTTTTTTTCCGCCCTTCGGACATAGCTTGGTCTAAAAATAAGGGAGGCCGGGCCCCCCGGGCTCCTCCCCTGGATCCGCTACTGCGCTTTTCGAATTTTAGTACACTTTGGTTGCTACCGATAGAAGATTTAACATCATAAGTTTTATAGCGTCGAGCAATTCGGAAGCAGAAAGTGTGATAGTCTGAGCCTGGGACCAGGTTCCGTATTGGGGAAAAAAAGGCAAAAAACAGGGTAAAATAGGAAAAATAACGGCGAGCGAAGCGAACCGAGCGCTTGCTGTTTCTCTTTTTTTCCCGGGCCTGGTCCCAGGGTAGTGATATGTTTTTGGCATTGTTTGTTTAAAAGTACGTATAAATCACAAAAAAAGGTAGGAAAATGTTGAATTATAACTATCTTGTAGACCTATCACAAGAAGGTGGTTAGTTTTAGACATGCAATTAGACGCGCAATTTATTTCACCGTAACCAGCGGTTAACGGTCATGAAGAGTGTCAGGGATTTTCTAGCTTAGTTTCCAGACTCATGTTCTAAGCTATTTCTCCGTGCTTACCCAGAAGATCCCAGCGTTCTGAGAGGGAAATTCCTAATTTTGATTGTTTTGACATCTATCCTGGCAAGGTGTAGCGACAAAAAAAACATTACCTTCAATGTAACTAACCTTTACAAACTACCCATCCAACGCCGTGTTCCTTTGCTTTCTTAATCGCCAGATCCATACTAAAATTACCTACAACCTATATCAAAGCAGTTGTAAAACGAGTTGAAATCAACTGTTGGAAAAACTCTAGACTGCAAAACAGTCGGGCCTTTTTCTCAAAATCCGTTTAGTGTAGCGTAAGAGTAGCGTAAGAGACTCACGCGCGCTAGGCCTGTAGGGCTCCCCAGTCTCACTCTCCGTTTTCAGCCTCGCTCCAGACCTTTTGTTTGACTGTGCGTACTTGAATACGCAAAAATACGGACTGTTTTGCAGTCAAGAAAAACTCTAAAAGGCATCTAACAAAGACGGCTGCTGCTATTTCGTTCACTATATATAATAGCTAAATGTAGGGGGCAAGAACTGGATAAAACCGCGCAAGCCCCATTTCAAAACTTTTTCATTTTGTTTAACAAGTCCGTTGGCACTTAGTTTCCAGGGGGTGGGATTTTTTGTGGACCCCACTGAACTTGAATTGCTAATTCCTAGATCCTCGTGCCAAGGTTTGCGATTTACACCAGAATTTAGTTCAAGCTTATTTCAGGGGGGGGGGGGGAGTACTCTTGCAATGCCTCGTGGCGCTAGGTCTCGCTGGTATTCATTTACACAACCAGCTCAGCTCCACTTGATTTTAAAAAAGGTAGATGACGCTGCACTTGATAAAAATCTTTACTCAAAAATTTTACCCAGTTTTTCAAAAGCAAGATAGTGCTATTCACTAGATAAATCTCTATCCAGTGAATAACAAAACTGGTATCACTAACACTTATCCACTGGATAGTGATTTATCCAGTCAATGGCGCTATCACGTTTGAACTGCAACCGGAGCCTGGTGGGCAAGCTTTACATCAACCGATTACACTTTCCTTTACAGAAAACAGAGTAAATTATTATCCATTTGGGAAGAAGTACCACCAGCAATGATGTTATTTACCGCATTTACACATGTATCCAGCAAGGGGGCGCTAGGGAAACGAATTGTATTATCTTCAAGAGAAATAATAAGATGCACCTATTGAGAAGATGTCGCTATTCTGCCTTTTAAAAACAAGGATTGAAAGATAGAAACAGATTTGAGACTGTGAAACACATCTAAGAAAGGAGGCCGAGCGGTTAGAGCGCTGGACTTGCAATGCCCCGACTTCAGGTCCCGCCCTGACCACTAGCTGGATTTGTTCTCGATATTCCCAAGTTCAAATCCTCGGCCTTGCTTGTAAAATAGCCAACTGGTTCGCCTCCTACCAGTTGGGATTCTTAACCATTATGTTTCATTTGAATTATTTGCTTCGTTATCCCGGAAAACCCCATAAGGGGAGAGGATAATTAAGTATTTCTATTTCTATTAATTTAATTTCATATTTACATCAAAACAACACGACATTTCGACGACATTAGCTACAGCAGCTAGGGTAAGAATGGTCATTTTGGGGATAAAGATCAGTAATGAAATAATTTTCTCACCGGTCCTAGCAAGTTGTTACCGTTTACCAAAGCAGTTGGTCCAGTTTCCTTTTCAACTGTAGGCTCACCCTGTGGTTGCATGTTCCCATTTTGAATGTCACGAACGTAAAACTCTAATATTGAAAAATGCATAGACAGTAACTACACATTTACTTGTTTTTTCAACTACACTACTTAGAGTAATGTAATATAGTGGCCCTCCTTTAAAACGTTATCCGGCAGCCGTTTCTATTCAGCTTCCTAGAAATTTAGTCATTTCGAATACTTCTACATTCTCTAGGGGGAGTGCCCATACGACGGTGTTTTCACAGACCAGTTTATTTTTAAATCGATTTTCGCGCGCATTTTGAATATCAAGTAAGACTTACAAATCGGTCAAAAACCGGAGAGTAGAAAGTAAGTATTTCTGATTTTTTGATAGCCTTTCCTTTTTTTTCTTGGTAATTATCGCATTATGGATGTGCACGCGTACGGAACGGTGCTTCCCTAATCGCTGAAAAAGTGCTCCAAAATGATGCTAAAAAAACCTGATCTGTGAAAACTCTGTGGCATAGGTTTAGGGCACTTTCCATTTGTCTGAACTGACCGGCCAGACCATTACCCGAGATAATGAGAATTTCACTTTAAATGAAAATTACCCAGTCAGTCAGTCAAATCCTAAGTAGTATACACGAAGGAGATGGGTTTTCATAATAATGATAAAAAAACCTCTTGGAAAAAGCCTATTTCATGGTAAAAATGACTGGTCCAGCCATGGTCCAGCCGGCCAGCTTTGAACAATTCAACCTCAGTAGTATGTATGATTTCAGCTCTGATCACACTGATGCGGTCTAGAATCTGTATATGCTTGGCAATATAAGCTTACCTAATCTGTGTAGTCCATGAGTGAAATGTCCCCTAACATCTGCCGCACACAGCACTTGAGCTAGAGCTTTACAGTGATGTTGATCAGTTCCCACCGCCCTCATACACCGCTCTACAAATGATTCAACATCTGCGACGGGAACACACTTGTGTTCTGCGACACTACGCATTATGACGTACTGAAGAGACAATAAGTCATGTATGAGAGCCTCGGAGTTTTCACAGTCCTCAGTTTATGTAATTTCTAAAACATTTTTTTCCCATTTTTCAGTTTAGACCTACAGTAAAGGGTCAGTTTCTTTCAAAGGTTTTGCTAGATTTCCTGTACTACTATTTTTATAATATTGTCAAATTATTTGTTAGGACGACCGTTTTATAAAATATTCCCTAAATTTTTAGCCTCAATTCGTCAATAGACATGTGACATGGACATGTCGACAGGTGTTTGTGATGTTTAAAAGGAGCCTCTTATTACTTATTTATCAATTCGGTTAGCGACTATTTCATTGATTTCTGTTAATCTATTAAAACATGTGGAGGTTATAAGAGAAAGTTGTGGGCACTTTCCCGGAGCGATAAGCCAATGTCCTTTAATACTCGAGTGAACTCTGGTTTTCACTGACGCTAGAGTGTGCATCTTCAGTGAAGGCATTAAAAAAAAACTACCAAGTATCACCTGTCAGATGTCGATAAATTCTTCGCCATTAACAAGGAAGGTTTTAAAGAAAAAAAAAACATTTATTTTCGGTTATTTTCCGACACTGCGAGCAACTAAAGAACTAGTCAGCATTAAATCCAATTTTGAGGTCTAGATGACTGCAGTCAGTGTCGGGAGGCGTTTTTTCCATATAGTTTATATCAGCTGAGAACTCCAAAGACATACACTAATAACTATGAAAGCTCAGCTGTAACACATGTTGTTGTTCTAATAATCCTCGGACGTGCTCATTAGTCAACAAGGCTTTAATTACATGTAGCGAAAACCTCTATAACTTGTGCACAGCCGATCAAACTCCTGTAGCGTTTAGATCTCTGAAATTATTTATAAGGAACTCGTCGCGGTTACGGAAAGCCGTGGCGGCTTTTCTGCTCTTCTCTGAAATTTTCTATCTTCTAAGATCCTATAGCTTAATGACTATTTTTTATCATGTTTTATTGTTTCAATTTAAAATAATATAAGTATACCTATGAACTCAATTTGCATTTCCTTTTATCTAAATTATAGTTGTGCATATTAATTTTTTCGCCAGCTGCTTGTACGAAGCCACGACCTAGCTTTTAGTACTCAAAAACAAAGCCACCATGGTCTAAGCCTACGCAGCAGGCGTTTCCATTCGAGTTTTCTTGCTAACGTTGGAGCGAGAGCATAAAAAAATAAAATTGCTGTCGACCAAACTTTCTCGACGATCTCGGGAGGAAACGCTTGCTTGGCAGGCTACTTTGGTCTCGGCGAACATTTACTCAGTTATAATAATACAGTATTGGTATAAACTCCATTTTTCAATTTAAATTTTTTAAATATGTAAAACGTGCCAAAAATAAGGAAGACTTTGAATAATCTAAAACTCTAACTTTTGCCCGACTTTCTCCTCAATGATGAAATCCTCACGCTTTTGACAAGATCCAATTTTGAGTAAAACATTCTAATAAGAGCGGATTGTTGAAAAATAAGATAAAATTCGGCATTTTTCCCCGCATCTTTAACTGTCGACCATCGCTGAGATTCTAATGGCCTTTTTAGCTCGAAAAGAAAGCGCCAGTTAACTCGAATCGAAACTCTTGAGTAACAAATAAGAATTCTGGCGAAGAAAATCGTAGCCAAGGCCTTTTCTCATTCTGCCTTTGCTAGATCGTAAGACATATATAATATACGCATCGATCAAGACTGAGTATACAAATTAAATCACTCACTCTGAATATCATAATTTTTACACCAAGGTGTTAAAAGCCAAATGTTTGAAGACCTCTAAGGAGATCTTTTTAGATAGACTCCTGAGATCGGCCTCATATGTTAACGACTTTGATTTATCGAATTACTTACCTCTAAAATTCTTTCAACTGCATCTAACCAAAGCTGTGAGTAGAACGAGTTTTTTCCGACAAAGTAATTTACCTCGCGACTTTATTTATTTATAAAGCTTAAGACAAGCTGAAATTCATAGTCTGGAGGTAGCCTCAAAAGAAACTCCAAGCTAGCTTTAAATCCGAAATGCCCATGCACGTATATGACGTGTTTCACAACGAACAGTGAAAAAATGAATAAAATAATTAAATACCATCCAAAGAAGTTTTAATAGTCCAAAAGAAATCTTTCGTTTCTTTAAAAAGGAGCTTGGCAGGTGTTTAGAATGAGGACGAAAGTTCCCTATCTAGACAGGCGCAACGCTTCACACAAACAAAAACATAGAGTTTGAATTAAGCACAGCTTTCAGAATACGTCTCTGATTGGTTCTTTCTCTTACGGCGGCAATAAATATACTGTAATTCAAGAGAGGATAAGCCGTCTTCACTCTTCAAGCCGCTTAACTCACATGTACGCGTGATTCAGCCCTTTCCTCTGGCGATTCCCAAATGGAGAGCTTGCTTGCGGGCTAGCTTTTTGTAAGTACAAGATAGTTCAATAAAAGGTAACAAGAGCCCATGGGCTCTAACAAAAATGCCTTGCTGTAGTTGTAGTTTGTTTCCGAACGTTTCGGGCCTAGCTCTGGCCCTTCATCAGTGGAGTACCTTGGAATCGTTGAAAGGTTTGCATACGCCATGAAACAAAAAAATAAAAATGAAAAATAAAAATAAACTTGGTGGTGGCCTAGAGGAAATGGAAGTCGGAGTTTAGGCCGAGTGGATGACTGGTGCCAAGCTGAAAAATCAGGCGCCTCTCCAGGCGCTCCCGTTGCGCATTTTCCCCGCAGAGCATAATTCCGCGAACTAGAGCGTCGTTGATTGTGTGACCAGTTGTGTTAAAATGTTCAGTAGCCAACGCAGTTCTCAGGTGGGTATACATATCCATGTTAACACACTCGCTGTCGCACTTGCCATCACGGTTCCGACGACACCAATCAGTCCGTGGCCCTGAGACTACACTGGTCCTGAAGCGTGGCCAAAAGCGTGACCAAGCTATAAGCATACCCTTAAATCTTTATTTTTCCAAGTTTGTTTTGTATTAAGTCAAACAAACGAAATTCAAGATCATGACTGGAAAAACTTTATTGCCTGCCTCTAGGTAAACTGGTTGACGCTTCGGGGCCAGGACAAACGCATTCCAAGCTGCATGTCTTGGATTCCCCGTCCCCTCCCTTGAAGAGTCTACTTAGTTCCTCTGACAGTTCGTACGGACGTACGGTGACGCCATAACTAAAATTTCTCGCATCGATAGGTTTCCATTTTCTATACCAATGAAGTCTCCGCTATGAAGATGAACTCAACAAACTGGCAGACTCTCAATGTATGGGTCTTCAGGGCTCAGTTCGCGGAGCACTGCAGCACTACCGCGGAGGCCATGGGTTCGAATCCCGTTGGAGCCCTGAAGCTTTAATTGCCATTGCAACAACGATATTCAAATCTAATTAAGATTTGTAATACCGCACGTCACATCATTTTAACTATAAATTTAACTGTGTTTTTGTTGAATTGTGTTTGAATGTTTTCGCCGGTGCAATAACGGCCACTGAGACTAATGTGATTTTAACGGTGTTGATGTTGAACTCTCTCTGACAGCCTCTTGCAGCGCATTAAAGTCACCATCGCCAAGTTTTTTTCTGACAAATATTACTGGTGTCTTACTGTTGTGTTTAAAATTGCTTCTGCTAGTGCAGTAAGAGCAACATCAAAAACAATCACGTGACATCTTCGACCGTGTTATTATTGAATTGTGCTTGATTGCTTCCCGCGGTACATTACGTGACAAATTCAACTGCGTTTTTCGTTGAATAGCTTCAATTGCTTCAACCAGTTCAGTATAGCCACTATAATGCCTCAAAAATGCAAGGCAGCTACTGTTGAACTGTGTTTGATTCCTTACCCAACTGCAGTACAGTCACCATCACCAACGCGACTGCCCGACAAATTCTACTGTGTTATTCTTCAATTGTGTTTCAGTGCGTCCGCAAGTACAGTCACCATCACCATGGTGAATCTCTTAGAAAATCAACTCCGTTATTGTTGAATTGTGTTCAAATGCTTCCGCCAGAACAGTACAGTCATCAACGTCAGGGAGATTCGCTGACAAATCCAACTGTCTCATTGTTACATTGTGTTTGACTGCTTCTGCCAGCGAAATAAGGTAACAACCAGGAAGGAAATTACATGACAAATCCAACTTCGTTATTGTTGAATTGTGTTTGATTGCTTCCACCAGTGCAGAACAGTCGCTAACGCCAAGATGATTGCTTGACAAATTCAACTGTGTAATCGTTGAATTGTTTTTTATTGCGTCCGCTAGTGGAGTACAATCATCAACGCCAAGGCCATTTTCTGACAAATCTAACTGCTTTATTGTTGAATTGTGTTTGATTGCATCCGCCAGTACTGTAAAATTACCATCGCTTATGTCATTTTTTGACAAATTCAACTGTATTATTGTGGAGTTGTGTTTGATTGCTTCTGCCAATTCAGTACATGCGTCAGTACATGCGTCAGTACATGCATCATCATTAAGGCCATCATCACCAAGGCTATCATCACCAAGGCTATCATCACCAAGGCCAACATTACCAAGGCCATTTTCTGACAAATCTAACTGCCTTATTGTTGAATTGTGTTTGATTGCATCCGCCAGTACTGTAAAGTTACCATCGCTTAGGTGATTTTTTGACAAGTTCAACTGTATTATTGTGGAGTTGTGTTTGATCGCTTCTGCCAATTCAGTACATGCATCAGTACATGCATCATCATTAAGGCCACCATCACCAAGGCTATCATCACCAAGGCCATTTTCTGACAAATCCAACTGTCTCATTGTTAAATCGTGTTCGATTGCTTCCACAAAGGCTTTCATCAAATTAGTTAGAACACCACCTCCAAACTCATTGCATGACAAATTCAAATGAGTTATTGTTGAATTGTATTTGATTACGTCTGCCAGTACAATGCTACAGTCACCAAAACCAGAGTTAGTTCCTGACAAATCCAGCTGTCTTATTGTTGAATTGTGTTTGATTGCTTCCCCCAGTGCAGTAAAGTCATCAAGTTTACAGTGATTGTGTGACAAATTCAAATGCGTAATTGTTGAATTGTGTTTGATTGCGTCTGCCAGTACAATGGTACAGTCACCAAGACCAATACTAGCTCGTGACAAATCCAACTGTCTTATTGTTGAATTGTGTTTGATTGCTTCTGCCAGTGCAGTACAGTCACCAAGTCCCAAGAGATTGGATGACAAATTCAAATGCGTTATTGTTGAATTGTGTTTGATTGCGTCTGCTAGTACAGTGTTACTGTCACCAACACCAAATCTATTTTCTGACAAATCCAACTGTCTTATTGCTGAATTGTGTTTGATTGCTTCTGCCAGTGCAGTCCAGTCACCAAGTCCAAAGAAATTGGATGACAAATTCAAATGCGTTATTGTTGAATTACGTTTGATTACTTCTGCTAGTGTAGTACAGTCACCAAAGACCCCAAAAGGATAATTTTTAAGTGACAAATTCATTTGATTTACTTGAAGAAGCGAGCCAAGAGAACACGCTAGTGACATAAGCATTGTAGAATTCTTTTCGTTCTTACATTCGCCAATGCATTTCAACGCAATTAAAAATTCCTCGCCACTGTTCACATTATTAGCAATTCTGGCGACTAATGCGGTGACTATTTCTTCAGACTGCGAAGCTAGCAGGCCGCATGTAAACGCAAGCACCTGTCTGAACTCAAGGAAGTATTTGCTCTCGGGAATTAAATTTTCTGGAAAATGTTCTTTATTTGCAACATCGCAACAGAGATAAAACGCCGCAAACAGTTCCTGAAATGTTCTGTGTAAAAAGCAATAGTACAGAGAAGGTCGCCGCTTACTCCGGCCACGTTCAACAGACAAAAATCCGTATTCTAGTAATCCGTCTGCACAATTCTCAAACTCGCTCTTCTCAAAGAACAAGTTGCTGTGAAGCAGACCTTTCCACGCGATCCTACCAAGCTGCTTTAGTTGACTTTTGTATATGTCAATGAGGTCTTTACATTCGGGGTCTGGTAAACCTTTTTTCTTCCTGTATCGTCTTAAAACGCACTCTACTATTTCGAGATACAGCTGTGTACCACTTTGTGGAAAAATACCATCAAAGTCTTCACAAAGAAGACAAAGAAGTGCAGTGTTTAATGGACTCTTTGTCAACTGTCTGAGGTTATCATCGAAATCTATTTTATCTAAAAGCTTCCGGGCCAAATGCGATTCCGTTTTGAAGTATTTGGCAATAAAATTTCGCGCGTCCAGTTCGGTGAATCCTTCCATTTCTAGTAAGGTATCACAGCATTCACGCACCTTCATCCCAACCTCGTGCCGTGCTGTAACGACAATGTGACATTTTGGAAGCATCCTTCCCTGAATGATTTCTTTAAACGCTGGTAACAGACTCCCTGGCAACTCATCCACTCCGTCAAGGACCAGTAACACGCCTTGCTGATTATGACGTACGAATTTGAAGAATTCCTCCTTTTCTTGTTTAGTTACACCTCGCGGTAGAAGCTGGTCATCAATAGCGTCCCATAAAAGGGCCTTAAAGAGTTCCTCTTCTTTTTCTTTGGGGGAACCATACAGACGTTGTTCTTCAATGGCATCCGAAACGTCAGACTTTATATCTCGACATTTAAGGGACAACACTACTTTGAACTTCGGAAAAGAACCGCCTGAAGACGTTTCTTCCCCTTGTTTGAGTTCCTTGGTGGCCCAATCGTAAGCAAGTTTGTTACAGTATGTGGTCTTCCCTATACCTGGATCCCCTTCAATTAACACCGTTCTAGGCTGTGGGCATTCTTCGTGGGGCTTGAAGATGTCATCCATTAAAACAGTTTCACGAGTCTTTGTTCCCCTTTCTTTTTTCCTGCTGACTATTTTGAGTCTAGTAAAAATGTTATCAAGGTTGAATCGGAACTCTTCACACCAGGGGAAGGGTGCAAGCCATCCTTCACGGATTTTGTACAGTTGGCGAATTCCATCGACATATTCAGTTGGATCAAAAGCCACTGCAAATACGAAAAAATATTATTAGATCTTACTGTTAAAGTAATAATGCTGTATATATTCATAGTTATAGTCAATATTATAACAACAGAGCTACAAGCAGTTAATATTTTGAAGTCATGAAAGCTTGCAATAGTGAAAGAAAAAGTAAAAAGCTACCAAAATCGAGCATCATAATTTGTTTCGTAGCAAGAACTTGAATGTTTAATTACAGACGTCAAGAAATAAAAGAATGTAAAGAAGAATGTCTACTAGATACTTTTCAAATTTTCAGATTTTCAAATGAGTCACTCCCAACGGTTTCACTACTTCGTGGAAAATGATAAAGAGGTTCAACATTCAGAACTTTCTCCTTTTACGTTTAGTCTTCCTTTCTCTTTAATTCGTGGGCTGCAGTTTACTTTTAACACAGTATTTAGCTACTAGAACTTATATCTACCTTCCCCATTGTTCTCCTGTCCTGCGGGTGTTAAGGTATCTAGCCTTTCTCTAATCGTGGTCATTTCAACTTTAATGTCTTCAAACTTGTCCCTGGTACTGTCTGGAGAAGAAAATTTACGTGGAACGTCTGTTAGGTCAAATACGAGAGTTGGCAACTAAGTTTAAGGCATAAAGCGACAGAAAAATGTCCAGCGAAGAGTTAAAAGGGGTAGCCTTTGTGGACAGGGACAAGAAAAAAGTAGCCGTAAATTCCGATTCCGAAATACATATCATTTTAACCTTAAACTTCTCACAACTTGTTTCTCATACTGTCGAACGAAGAGAACTAAGGCAAAACGTCTGAGAGGTTAAATATTAAAGTACGTTACGAATGGAAAGATGAATTTAAGGCACATTGTTAATGGCGACTGGAATGAATGGATCCAGCTACCACAGCCTACAGTCAAACCTCTCACGAGGGATAGAAGAACTAACCCAGCTAAAAATAAATGCTTGGAATGCAAAAAAAAATTTTGTTAGTATTTGGCACTGTTTTCCTGACGACGTTGTAATTCAGATACAAGCATGAAACTCAAGTGGTGCTTTGAAGTGTAACCAGACGTGTACATGAAAAAACAAACTCCGAAACTGATGCAAATTCATTGCCACAAATATCCATTTTTTTAAGAAAAAAAAATGATTCAGAGGCGTACGAAATATCATTTTGGGTGTCCGCTTACGAGAGCTTCAAAACAAAGTAAGATCTAACTCGTCCACCTTGAAAGTGTGCGCGGCCATCTGCAGGCAATGTCAGCTTACGGGAATGTAAAGCCTCGTCCCAACGGACGCAACATTGTTGGCGAACAACTCCCATCAATGTTGGGAGTTGTTCCGTCCGTTTGCACGTAGCTAAAAGTTTGACCGGTTTCAAACTCTGCGCAACAACTCCCACCAACATGCAACAGGGTGTGCAAACGGACGCAACATGAAACATTCAACAATGTTGCGTCCGTTTTCACGGGGCTTAAAACTTCAGAAAATGTATGGGAATTGCAACGAGGCAATTTTGTGATGACCGCCGTAAGCAGAGCTGTCCGCTTACGAGAAGGTCCGTTAAGAGAGCTTCCGCTTTATATGACCACTCCAAAACTAGTAGACAGCTAGCAACTACTTTGTTATGTCAGCAGAACGTTAACACAAAGTATTTCAAAACACCGCCGTCGTACACTACGAGCGGAGGTTTCTTTCCGGCATAGTTTTTAGCATTTGTAAAGAAAGAATCCATTCTGTTCCAGACATGTACCTTAAAGTTTCCGGAAAACCCTACTTTTCCAGCGGTGCAGTGTCACATACAAACCCAAAATTTGAAATGTCAGCTGTTTTTTCAGGCTAGGCCAAAAAGTAATCAGAAAACGACTCGAGCAGGTTCAAACGACTTTTTTTAGTGAACATACCAGGAGTAAATGGGTTGTGAAACAGTGTGTGTACAGTGTAGCATTCTTCATATCCAATGTGCTCCAGAAATATCCATAACCCCCCACGGAGGGAAACGGAAATTCCGAGGGGAGGGGGCGGGTGTCCAAAAAGAGACAATTTCCGAGGGGATGAGGGGTTGACTACAGAGGTTTTTTCCAGGGGTCTGAGAAAGATTGGTGAGTTATTAATTAAACAGAGCTTCTGTGTTGAGCAAGCTATCAGTTATTTTATTGTTACCGGTGTTTCAAAACAAGTTTTATTGTTTGAATTGATCATCTTTTACCTACGGTCGGCTAAATGCTTTTTTCATGGAATATGCAATAGTTTTCTTTAATCCAATTGTCACCGGCTCAAGAGTAAACGTCCGGTTATCTAGCTGTTGCTTTATTACACATTTCATTCACCGTAATTTGGTCGTTTTCTAAGCACTTCTTGTAACATGTTCTAACTAAAATGAAGTAATGAAAGTTCACGTGGTGTTTAGTTTGAATCTAACTAGTTCTTTAGCAAATGACATTATTCGTGTAGTCAGTAGTGTAGGTTATTGCCTTTATGGTTATTTATTCGCTAAGAACGTCCTTGAGATTATTAGACACCGTATACGTATTAACATGAAAAGAAAGATTTTTTCGCATGATAATATAGTGCAACAACATTTTTGACACAAATATTCTTTCCAGAGGGTACCCAACCAAGTTCAAAAATTACGGAAATTCCAGGGAGTGCAGGGGGGTATGACACGTACCCCCTGGGATGGACATTCCAGGGGGGTGGGGGGTCTAAAGCAAAAGTGCCCTCCGTAGGAGGGGGGTATGGATATTTTCTGGAGCTACACAATATTAAGTAGGTATTTTCCAGGAGGGGGTAGCCTGTGTACAAGTTCTCCATGGAGCCCTGACAGTGGTATGAAAAGGCCCCACTGCCACAGCATCCTGGAGAGCTTGCTCGCAGGTTACCGGGGGAGGGGATACTGCCATATATGGATATAAAAATTATAGGTATCTGCCCCTGTGAAGGGTATGTCAAGATATTTAGTCTGGGATAAGATACAGAAATCAGACAGTTTGGGTCATTTTCCAGGAACATGGAAACCAGAAATTGGCAATCCAAAAAATTAAAATCTAAATTTACCCAAAACTCAGTTTAACAGCAAAGAGAGCGTTGACTTCAGTAATTTCTGGAAAATAGGCACTCTAGGATAAGTAGAGATTTTGGGAGTTTAGTCTAGCATATATACGGTGGCAAAATCAGCTGAACAACTGTAGGTCTGGTATAGACTAATGGTAACAGGGTCCCAGCAGCACAATCCTACCCAAACATTCCTAGAATAAGGTCTCTCCTGGGATTTCCCCAGGTGTTTTTCTCACATACCTTCAATCTTATCAAGTTGGTCCTTGATGCTATCCTCATCCTTCTTCCACTCTCTCAGTAATTCTTGGTAATGTTTCTCAATTACAGGATCCATGCTCTCAGTCTTCAGCTTGGTGATAGCAGCTGCATCTGCACCCAGCCCTACCAGTGCATTGCTTATATCCTGCCAATAGGAATGAAATGTGGGATCATCCACAGAGGCCTGGCTGGCATGCCCATACACATGGTTTCTGTAATACTTCACTCTTGCTATGTTAGCCTCAGCACTGTTATCTGTAGCAGGTGGGAGACTATCCCAACCAGTGGCTGGAGGAGTCAAGCCACATATGTTCCTTAACAGCAACATCAAAAGAGTGACATCAAAATCATTTGAAGATACCGATGATGTAGGGGGATACAGCTTGGCCCATTGAGTAGGATTGAGAATTCTCTTTTTTCTAAGCATCTGCAGTGTTGTGTGTGCTGGAGGCTTTGTCAAAACTCCATGTAGTCCTGCTGGTGGGTGGATGCTGTCAAACTTGTCTCTCAATGCCTTGGACCCCACATCCACAAGAAGACGACAGAGATGAGCAAAATTTGTTGTTTCCTTGGTTGATGCATAGGAAGGTGTAGCAGAAGCCATGTTCGTTATGTTGTTAGCTACAACGAAAGAAAACAATTATTGCATTTAACACCAATGAAATACCAGGTGACCTTTTGCGCAAAAACATGTTATCTTCACATGCAAAAAGATCAAACATTGCTATGCCTACATAATAAATTGTGCCTTTTACAGGGAAACGCACCGCCATTAATTAAAGTGAAATGGTATGGTATTTCATTGGTGTTAGTATAATAAAACAGAACATTACAAAATTTCTCTTCTCGTGTTGAAAAATATTTCACTCTTTTGCTGCGCTCACTTGTGAAATATGATTCAACACTCAAAAGAAATTTCATATCTCCATGTGGTCATGTAATATCCTTTATATACAACCATAATTTAGCTACAAGAAACATGACAGTCAGCTAACCTCAAGGAGAAAATTTGTTTTTGTAGTAATGTTCAAATCAAAAACTCAAAAGGGACCTAGTGCAAGAGGCAGGAAAAATATATAGATTACCGGTATATGTGAACTGTTACAGATAAAGACTCTTGGTCATAAAAAAAAGGTTTGGAGGCTGGATGCCTCAACTCTACAACCACAGACACCCTCAAATGTGTCTCTTCGCCGTCAATAGGAACCTAACGATCTGACAATAGTAACACCAATAAAAACCCAGCTGAGAAAAAGGCTTTGTGTCATTTGAAACTATTTCACCCTTAAACATCGTACCAAGTCACCCAGTTACTTGAAAGTAGGGAAGTTAGGTCGGAACTGAAGAGAAAGGAGTGCAGCCACCGAGTTCTGAGAGAGACAATAAAATTTGTCACCTTGCTGTTCCCATTCTTATTAGTCAACTCAAAATTGTAGTTGGGCTGGGATGGCAAAGAAATAAACAAAAAAGAGTGATGCACATACAGATTTGTTGTTTTGCTCATAAAATCCTTCTGTGTTTTAGATGTTCCTATTGCTGTTGCCGACAAAGTCCCTTACTGTTAAGTCCAAGGAAACTGTAACTCACATGATTGGGTCTATAAAATTATACACAGTGCAAAACTGAAGTAATCAGTAGCAGAAAGAATTAGCAACCAAGAAATTTGAACTAACAATCACTTCAAAACTGCATGTTCTAGAAGGGCCATAAAACTAGTTATAGCTGAGTAACTGCATGCATAAGGTTATTGCCACTAAAATTGCTGGTTTTCATCGTCACACAAACAAAAGTGAGAAAAAAAAAACAACCAATGAGTTAAAGCAAGGATCTTAGGGATAAAGGCAAGGTAAGATAAATAAAAATAGTAATTAGGACTCGCTCACTGTGCACCTTTTCAGCGCAAATTAAAATTCAAAAAAAACTTCTACCAAGATTTATTAATAGAGCATTGTATGGTAGATGCCAATATTGGTGCCCCTCTGAGTGACAGAAAATTCAGGTGGTCAAAAACACGCATAATTTGAGTGCCCTTTAAGCTTAAGTAGTCATCTCTCAATCGCTCATGTTTTCACAACTTGTATTGGGGTAAGAAGGCAGGGAAGATAATAGTGTTAATAGTCAGGTACCACAGCTTGGAGATCAGCACTTCTTGTGGACTAGCCTGTGTTACGTCACTCTGCAAAGCATTGCCAATATTCTTCTTCTGGGCCCCCAACAGACTTGACGAATTACCCGCAACCAATTCAAATTTCCATTCAACCTGATTAGCAAATTGACAATGGCTCTTTTTAACAGGACAGTCATGGTGCATAATCTTGATTCACAGGTTGAGACCCAGAACAAGGATTTCAGTGTGTTCCAAGATGGACTTAGCCAGAAGTTGAGTTCCTTCTCTGGCATAGGCTTCTTATAGACTGAGTTCCAGGGACTCCTATGGCAAGTCACAAGTCAGTCCCCAGAGTACACCAGATACAAGACATTACATTTATTTACTACATGTGGTTCCAGAAAATATCTTTATTTAGATTTTTCTTAGTTAGCGAGTAGGCGGAATTCTTCAATCCTGCAATCTGGTTGGTTCCGAGAGCGGGTGGTTGTTTACAATCTTGCCCGCTAACCTGGGCGGAATCATTGGCAGCTTCATTCACAAGTTTGTTTGTTCTTTGTGAAATGAGCAAAAACTGTGATTTTAAAACCATTTTTCTTTTAAAACTTGCACTATTATTAGCATTAGCTAAGGAAAACAGAGTTTTATCATTCAGACAAAGAATCTGAAGGGAGAATCGATCGAGCAAGTCAGCCAGGAAAACCGCTAAAGTAAAGCAAAACAGGCAGCTCATGATGTCGCTTCACTAGCTTTATAATCTATGCTGTAAGTACTGCAACCTTGCTTTTATGCACTGTTTATTTGACATTTTTACGCTGTTTGTACTTTTGTTTTCCATTTTTGCTGTCTGAATCTAGATTCTGCCATTTTTCATTGAATTTTGCCTTGCTAATTTTCTACTTTTCATAAAAGTTTGTTGTCAATGATTGCATTTAGCTTTCAATCTTGAATAAGCAATACCAACTACTTTTCCAGTAATCGATTATCACCGTTTTCATTTCTTTGTTTACATACAGGGAAACCTCTACTAAGCAGACCCCCAGTTAAGTGGACACCCTCTCTTAAGTGGACACTAAGCCAGGTCCTGAAATTAACATCTTATATTTCCCTTTATAACGAACCCCTATTCAGCGGACACTAAATTTCTGTTAAGTGGACGCAGACACTAAAGTAAATTGTATTTTGCTAATTTCTATTGTTAAAAACCTCTACCAAGCTGACACACTGAATTGACAATAGTAGCATTGGATTAGGTCCTTTAAATACGTAAGTTGTAGTCGATCAATAAAGTTAAATCAATACATTTAGCTGTCAATAAACTGTAGATTAGACAGATATCCGGCCGTATGATTGTCATCCATGATCAAAGTTCACCTAAAAGTCTTGCAAAAAGTACAGCATTCCTTAACAACATGGAACTTTATCACAGTACAGAGTAACCATTGAATGCTAATCAGTAACAAACATTGCGCAATTTTTACAAACCTCTATTTAACCAGACAACCTCTATTAAGCAGACACTCAGTAGCCTCCCATGCAGGTGTTTTTAGGGGAGCTCGTTTTTCATCCCGCCCCACAAACGCCTGCTCAACCAAAAACAACATTCCTTTCCCATTGTTTTATTTGCGTGGTAAGTGACCAATCAACAGTTGTGCAATAAAGTGTCTTTTCTTTCCTTTGCTAACGTTATGCAGTGCATGGAGTATTCTAAAATTTGACTAAATCTTATTTTTGCAGCTCTGAGTCTAACATTATTTTATTAGAGGTCAGAAAGCTTTCCCAGTGTTTCATGCATATCAAGTAATTATCAGATTATCTTGTGGTCAAGGTCAACTTACAGAATTTGGAAGGTACAATGCGATTGGCTAAGCATGGGAAAGGAATGTTGTCTTCAGTTGAGCAGGCGTTTGTGGGGAGAGATGAAAAAAAAGCTCTCCAAAAAAGGCCTGCGTGGGAGGCTACCCCTCATGGGGAAGGTCCCAAATTAAAGGTGTCCGCTTAATAGGTTTCAGTGTACTTGTTACCCATATCCCCTTCTTTTTTTAAATTCAATTCAAAACCTTAAGATTGGTATGTGTAATTAGCTCTTTTAATTTTATAAAGCCTTCGTGCAGTTTTCATCCCGCTGATTAATTATTCAGCCGAAGAAAATCTTTGCTGTATTTTTTTTCCTGTGGCTTTTAAATCAAGTACGTCAATTCTTTTATCCTTGTTTGACACTCAGATTATGAATTGTCTACCATGACACAAAAACCTTTCTTTAGTCTAAAAATTACCTGTTAAAAATCATGTTGTAATGTTTTGTTTTGGTTTACAATCAATCGCCCGCTTCACCAATACGAACACGTCCTACTTCAAAGAGGCTGAAGTAATTCTGTAGGACTACTCAAATTCCTACAGGAGACGTTTCGCCATTATATCAATTCGATTTCAATTCAATCCCTTCGATTACTATTGAATCAAAACAAAAGTGAACACTTTTTGGCGTCTTTTAGAATCTTCATATTTGACTTCCGCTTTCGGTTTGTTCCTGAGGCAAACTTCGTTTTTTGGACTACACATAGGTTAATTCTTATTAAAGAATAAAATTCAAATTCGTTTAGAGTTTCTTAACCAAAATCAGTAGCAACCATAACGTTAATATCTATCGACCGATCCCCAACGAGACAAACATTGTAAAGATTGCTTACTGTTTTTGCACAGCTCGATGACAGATCAGCCGTCGCAAAACAGCACGAACCATGGAACTCACCGGCCTTCAGTGGAAAGAGTGACAGTCTACTACGAGTATAAAGCGACAGGATGGTGTATTATTCTTCCCTCTGCCTATTCATACGCTCGTAAAAGGAAGTCCGACAGTAATATAGCTGTTCAGCTCTACTGGCACGCAGACAAACAGTACCGTTTTACAGCAGACAGCTGTTTTCCCTTCTTCCCTTCCCATGAGACCCCGCGCGCGCCTTAACCTAATCCCCAATCTTCTCTCACAATCAACGTGCGTTATGATCGTGTCTTCTCCATGTGACTTCCCAACTAGGGGAGGGCTGTAGTATGAGCCGACTGCATGACGCCCTGAAAGTGGCTAAGAATATTAATGTGGAAATTCAATGTGGATGTCTTTTGCTTTTGATTTGGAAGATGACGCTGTTACACTTTTTGGCTTAACTGCTGAATGCCCTGCCACTTTAAAGCAACCCCTAAAAATAGGTGGATACGCAGATACTCAAACTGTGGACTTTAGAAAGGGGTCACATTTTGCGATAACTCAATCTGTGTCCGAGCAATCAATCACCGAAAGTAATCGGCTCCTGCCAAAAGTCACAGACACCTTTCAAGAAAAACTAGTGATTTTACAACCATTTTAGAGTCAGCCGTCATCGGTCATATTAAAAAAAACACTAACTTTTTCCTGCGTTAATCATAAATACAACACAAACCGCGAACTTACGAATTTTATGCTTAAAAGATCGGTCTCCTTTTGAACGTTAGATTTGCATAATAGTCGGAAACGATCAGTCATAGGCATATTTTCGTAAGCGTTCGCGTTTTATTCGAGTTCACAATATTCATAGGATGCAGAGTTGATTATGATCTGTATAGAGAAGTAGATGGTGAAAAGATTTTAAACAAAGGGATTTGCCTTGTCCTCTACGACAAGTTTTAGCTATCTTAACTGAATATAGGCTAAAATTAAACTGATCAGTGCGCTCTTCATATGTTTATAACATGTAAACACGTGAAATTCAACTTTAACGACGCACAGCCGGTCTTGTTTTTTCGAACTTCTTATTGTACAATCCCAAAATAGCATTAAATATACTCTCCTTCACAGCCTTTCGGCGGCCATGTTTACTTAACCTTGCAAGACAAATTTTACTATCGTCCCCTACCCGCTAGAATTGCAAAGTTTGCTCGAAGACCAAACTCCAACGGAGATTTCTTTCCTGTCCTATGCATTTTGCAAAAAGCGAGCTGGAAATTAAAATCAAGCGATTTAAACTGCTTTCATATTTACGTAGTCTCCATAACTGTCTTTTTTTTTTCTAATTTATGAGATCCTTTTTGAAAACCATATTTTATATGAAAAAAAGTTAATAAAGATTATTGTTGTTATTATTATTATTATCATCATCATCATCATCATCATCATCATCATCATCATTATCATCTCTCTCGGCTACCCTCTCAATAGTTTGTTGTTTAGGCTTTACTTCCAGTTGGGGTGTTACCGTCACGCGTCACGCATGTTGCCTGTCGACTTGCCACAAGTCGACTGCCTAAGCGCCGAATGCGCGAAGGGCGAGCGAAAGCGACTGACCACCTAACCAGCAGAAACTGGAAACGGGCTTTGAGAAAGTGTAGGTAGACATGTGACTTGCTTGCTTCTTGATTACATCGCTATTAAAACTACGTGTGTTTTACTCCTGAGTGCTTCGTTTTACGCTAGCTCTAGCTTTATAACAGGGGCAACTGGTGCGAATACTTTCATACGAGTTGTTAACACTTTATTTGGGAGTGCCTCCCCATACCAATAAACCGAAAAAGGGAAACAAAGACCACATCTTTTTAGTCT